TAGAAACATATATGTATAAAGATACACAACATATCCCTCCAAACTGCCAATATCCCGAACCCCTTGTTTAGAGTGCAGGCATTGTACTTCCCATTTCCAGGACTCAAGTCTGACTATATAAAAATGCTAATCCTTGTTCTGTGCAAGATAGATGTAAGAAAACTTTTTTTTTCAGATTTTTTTGAGCGATTTTCACTTATAAGACAAGGAACACATGTATTTAGTAAAAAATGAAAAACCCAACTGATGGCCAATAATATATAGTAATCAAGGAATGTTACAATAAAACATTATGAAATTCTCAAGGAACCATATGGGTTATCATATGATCAAAATCCATCTCAGGTGAGTTTCCCTGACAAATAAACTAACAATAACCTAAGAAGTCTGGAGGATGGCATGATAAGAAAGAGAAAAAGAGTTGGTCAGCCAGGAAGGACATCATGGAAGGGATATCAGTCAACCAGTAAGAAGAAATTTACCAGTGATGTCGAGATACAGTACCTTATCAAGAGTAATAAAAAAAGTGGTTACTCTGACAGTATGATACAGTATCGTGCAAGTGTAAAACATGAAATACGAGTGTATGCTTGAACAGTGTTGCATTTACCATGGTTTCAAGCCAAGTGTAATACATATTGTATTTTCTATTTGCTTCAACCTACCATCCTTCAAAGATACGTACACATATACTTATGCACTGCCCAGGTGTGAGTTCAGATCTCATTTTTATACCAATATTGTTCACCTGTGGTGATAAGTTTTTCCCTATATTTTATAGTATAAATTCTGAGACTACTGTAATAAAGAGGTGACTAAAATGCTGGGAGCAGGGGGCAAGCACTTCTTCTCCTGTATAAATTACTAAATGTAACAAGGAGAAAAATTTTTTGTTTCGTTTTTTGGTGGGATATGGCTGGTGTGTTGAAAAAACAATTACTGTAACTGCAACTATTCAGTTGTTAGACTGTCCAGTGATACTTGATCCTTCACACATTGGAGAGCCTCTTTGTTCACTCTCTCATCATTTTTAAAGTTTCTAAATATATCATTAGTCATAAAAACACAATCAAATGTATATATATCCAATTTAGTTTGTTTTTATATACGTACATTAATTTTAAAATTTTAAACAGAAATGAGAACATACAAAATATAGTCTTTGATGATGTTTTCATTCTGTAAGTTTTTATGTAAGATATATGCTTATGATTTCCCTTTCTATCAGCTCAATAGAACCTACGAAGGATAATATTCTACACCACATCTTACACTCAGATACCCAACTGATCAACTAATTTTCTGTATAACCCAACCTGCAGAGATAAGCCAATTTTAGGCCTCGTAGATTAACTCCTTGATTGTCACAACTCCCAATCCTGAGGTGTCTCCTGGTGTTGCAAAATTTAAAAAAAAAAAAATTATTTTTTCTTATGAAATTATAGAGAATCTTTTCCCAATTGTAATGACACCAAAAAAACGAAATTTGATGGAAAACTGATGGAATTACGCTCTCGCGAAGTTAGCGACCTCAGCGATATTTACAAATCAGCGATTTCACCCACTTTGAGCCCTATTTTCAGCTAATTCCATTGTTCCAGTCAACCAAACTCACAGCTATTGGTTTAGAACACCATTTATTTTGTATCAATTGAGTACAAAAAACTGACCATTTACTGATTTCAACTACCCAATAATGTGGCCAGAAATTTGCAATTTGGCCAATTTCACGAAAATTAAAAAATATGACAATTTCAAAATAAGATCCAGAATAAACAATGCAGACATTCCTGGCTCTAAAATAACATTTTTTTTGTTCATCAGTCATGTCTCCAGGGCCCTCTGATATTACTCTTGCTTTCTATTTTGAATTTTTATTCAAACAAAAAATAGAAGATTTACTGTTATGCAGACTACTGCAATACTGTAATAATTGTACAAATAATGTCAACCCATTCATGACTGCATATTAGAATGGCTAGTTGGACATTTATTGGACAACGACATCATTTTTTACTTTTGAACATCAGCAAAAATCAAACATTTCCCCTACTTTGAGCTCCATTTCCAGGTTCTTTTTATAGTAAAACCAATCAAAAGCACCTCTATTTCTATAATATGTTTTCCATTCTATCAAATGAGACCAAGAAAACGAGAATACAACCATAAATACTATACGAAAATAGGCCACAAAGTCGGCATTTTAATTAAAAAAAAAAAACGGTCAGAGTTTTTTTTCTCATTATGCACTGCGTGCTCCAGGACTTTTTTTATATGGTGCACACTGACCACACAGACCAATTCTCTCACATGTGGGCCTACCAGCTTTCTCCTGCTTGATTTGGAGCTGCTAGAATTTATGAGTATATATACGTCAAACTTGGTACCTCGTAAGACGTATATATACGACCAAAACAGTCAAAGGGTTAAGAAAGCCTCTAGCCTGGCTACTTAGCTTATAGGCCTATAATCTGCAGGCTATAGCATACCCCCTGCCATTGATTTGGGCTTAACACAAACAGTACCGAGCTGTTTCGTGTAACTCATGGTATAACCTGAAAAACTCTACTACGTATTTAAAACAATTCAAACATCCTAGCATTCAAGATAAGACACCAACTCTGCTCCTTTAACCACAAATAGGTTGAGACAACAGGGCACTCTCACACAGTACAGTATATATATTATGAAAAGCGACTGTATACACCACAGTATATTTTGCTTTCAGAATCTAGTATTGTTGCTAGAAGATCATGTAATATTAATTAATAACACAATAGTGTCTTTTGAAAATTTTTTGGATAGAATTGATTTGCAACACTTTTTTGTACCAATATACTGCTTTGCTCCTAAGCTAATTAAAATATTACTGTATTACTATTATCAGTATTATTACTAGTCAAAGTTATAAAGGTTAAGTTGTAATGTAGTTTAAAAGTCGGTGGCAAAGTTTGTAATATATACGTACCCAGCTTACTGCTGTTCCTACAAGCAATGTTCCATTATATTTTTGGTAATGTAATATGACAACCCCTTTATTTGCCCTTTTGATATCTTATCATGCTGAATACTTTATTGAAAGCATCCAGCACGGTAAACTGTTTGTCATGGCTATGATGAACAGGAGGAAAATTATGGCGGTCAAAAATGTGAAGTAAACAAATGACTTTAAAATGATCTCGATCATTAAAAAAGACCAATAAATTGCACTTTGCTAAAAAAATGGCCACTCTTATTTTTTTTGGTCAAAAACTATCCTTGTACCATGTTTAAGAAAAACTGAAGAGCTGGAGTTTTTTTTTTTTTTTTTTTGCCTTTGTTTGTAGATCTTTGTTGGGATATAATGTGAACTCAATTATACATTGTCTAATAGTTTTAAGTTAGCTTAAGACTGAAAGAAATGCTCTGCTAACCAGGTGTTGTCCACTAAGTCTGCAAATGTGTTACCTAAGTTTTTAACAATTGTACACTGCACTTTCTGAAAATAAACAAATTTAATTTTTCTTTAATAGCATCTTCCAAACCCATCTAGGATTCTAGTTTGAAGCTACCATACGGTAAGATTAAAATATCAATAATTTAAATCAAATATCTGCAGAATACAGATTCAAGGGAGCAAAATTACTTTACTCCAAACAATGCAATTTGCTGACTATTCTATTTCTATTATAATGCATTACAAACTGTGTACATTAACCCTTAAACTGTCCAAACATAGATCTACGTTTACACATGTAGCGCTTCGACTTTGATTTTCCTCATTTGAAAACATGTAAAAAAAAAACGTAGATCTACATTCGGAGCGCTACATGAGTGAACGTAGATCTACGTTTGGACAGTTTAGGGGTTAAATCAAGTCAACTCTTCTTTAATGTTCTATTTAAAATGAGAATAAAGAACAAAGAAAGTCGACTCACCATCATACGTGGGTCCAGTCTCCCGGTTAAGATTTCTTGAGTCCTAAAAAAAAGAACACATTCCACTTGAAAACAATACTACATTAACTATATATATATTATTCTTATTTTGATAGATAAATGAAAAAAAAATTTTCTTGTGCAATAACAATACCAAACAACAGTAGTATGAACTACAGATTGTTATTTAGAAAAAAATATACCTTAACCATATTTGATACCCATCAGATGTAAAAAAAAAAAAAAGTTTCAAGATAGATAATTTAAGTGTATTGGATAGTCTCAAATTTACAAACCAGTATGTTTTAATTTTCCAACTAATAAACAAATCTTTTGTATAAAACAACAATATGAAAGATGGGATATACAGAACTGTATTACATACACATTCATACTATAACTAGACATCAGTAAAAAATGAACTGGTTCCTACATACAAATGTATTTAATTGAAAGACAGTGTATCCATATGATAAAGTGCTTTATGCCAATAAAGTACTTTATCAAAGGGAAGCACTAACTCCAAGGGTCAAACACCATCTAATACTGTAAATGGGAGGCAATCAAATTTGATGCAAGGATGGGGAGCCCCAATTCTACAGATGACATCCTTCACCAGCTTCAAGGCACCCTCTTATTATAATAAAAAAAGTGCTAAACCTACAAGGGTCATACAGTGCAGCAGGGCAGGGAAGGGTACAGGGGTATTGGTTCGCAAGAGGAAGAGGGATTATTATTAGGTCATGGAGTGCAGCGGGGCAGTGGATAGTGTAGGGGTAGAGGGTAGCAAGAGATTGAGGTAGAAAGGGCTGTGAGGAGTGCTAGAGGAATCATCATCAAAGTTTGTGCAGTAAATCAGTTACTGTCAAAAAGCCAATGAGAGAGTCTGGGTTAAGAGAGGTTCCAACAGCAAGAAGGGAAGGTAAAGTAAGGGCAGCAGAGCAGTGACGATGTTGGAGATAAATTCTGCGTGCTCATTGATAGAGAGGGCAGCCCAAAGGCACCCCCATTAAAGAGTTAAAGACATCTAAACAAGTCTTGCTTAAAACAATTTTATTTAAATTGCATATTAATTCTGTAAACAAATTAATTGCCTGTATTCCCATATCTCCATGGGGAAGTGGAGAAGAATTATTCCTCCATAAGCCAAGTGTGTTGTAAGAGGCAACTAAAATGCCAGGAGCAAGGGGTTGGTAATTCCTTCTCCTGTATAAATTACTAAATTTAAAAAGAAAAACTTTTGTAAAAAAAAAAAAAAAAACTTCTAAAATAACAAATATCAGAATAAGAATAAAATTTTGTGTATTGCACTAAAAAGTGTTATAAAATCAAGTAGAAACATTTATAATAATGAGTCCACATATGAGCTTTTTTTATGTTCTCCTTGACAGCTTAATGAGGAAAAAGAAAGCACATTGAATGGAAGCTCTAGCCCAGGGGTTACTTAACCTTTATATCAGCAAGGTATGTGAAAACTACATATCCATATTCTCAATGTCACAAACAGATGTAAAACAATATAATCTTCTTATTCTCAATATATGTAGTCCTCCCAACCTTTAAAACATTGATCGTGTTCCCTTTATGTTAATGAGCTAGAATCCTCATTACCTATAATCATAATCAAACCTGTAATTCTTCGTACTAATTATTCGTACTAATCAAAACCTAGCTGCATGTGTTAAAAACAGCAACATAATGTGAAAATAAGACTAGGCACTGTACCTCAATCTGGCTGGAGCTCATATTATGGCTGTCTTCATCATTGTACCCTCCAACCTGTTGAACATCAATTATATAATTATCTACTATTAAAACTTATTTTTGTATATATATATAATACATTACAAGATGAAAAACTACAGATGGTTTTCTGTAAGAACTTAATTGAATCAGAAGCTATTTATTACAAATTTATTACACTATATTAAGGCCTAGTTTTAATAAAAAAATACATACTATTGGAGATAAATAGTATAAAATACCGACACAATGGAACAATACAATCCTCTATTGTCAATAAAGGATTGCATTATACTGCATTTGTGTTTATTTTTCCACAAAATATGAATACAAATTAAAACTTTCATACCCAATAGGCCACAATATTTTTCCAAATTTCTAGCAAAGCATAGCTTTTTTTTAACTAAATTTATCAGCAGCGTCTAGCACAGCATAACATTGTAGTTACACAATTTATCTGTAATTTCTAGCACTGTAATTTCTAGCTGCTGTTGGAGTGTGAGAAAAGTAACATTTATGAAGGGGTTCAGGGAAACCGGCAGGCCGGACTTGAGTCCTGGAGATGGGAAGTACAGTGCCTGCACTCTGAAGGAGGGGTGTTAATGTTGCAGTTTAAAAACTGTAGTGTAAAGCACCCTTCTGGCAAGACAGTGATGGAGTGAATGATGGTGAAAGTTTTTCTTTTTCGGGCCACCCTGCCTTGGTGGGAATCAGCCAGTGTGATAATAATAAAAAATAAAATAAAAATTCTAGCACTGCATACCTTCTTAAGTATAGTAAATCGTCTTATAATAAGGGGGGTTACTGTCCTGAAAACTGGGAGAGTATTAAAAATAGAACAACGTAAAGTGAAGAATATATGGGAAAATAGGGTTATGTTTCACACACCAATTTTTTTTTTTTTTTTTTTACAATCACACTAAGTAAAAATTAGTACAGTATAACTCACATCCGACTCAGCCTACTGGGCTGAGATAGGCGTAGGGAGAGCGATCAGCTCATATACACTAAGTACACACCTGTAGGTGGTTACAGGGGTCACCACCCCACATGGCCTGGACTCAGACAAGGCCTCCTGGTTGATGGCCTAATCAACCACATTGTTGGTGCTAGCCCCACACAGACCAAAATATACACCACAACTGGACTGATCAGAAATTGACTTGAAAAACCCATCAAGTTCCCACTTGAAGATAGCTAGGGGACTTCGGTAATTCCCTGTATGTATAAAGGGTGTTGTCAAAGTCACATTTTCTTACTAATCTGCACCAAGCAAGAAGGACTCAACTCCCCTATACCAAACATATACTAAAGATGATACATTTGAAAAAGTAATTAAGAAAATACAGTAGCACTGTATAGTAAATTGCTATCCAGATGTGAATGGAGCTGCTGACTCTGGCTTTATCTCTAAGCAATATTGTGAGTGTGCAGATTTCTATATCCAAATCTTCAAAACATTTCTGAATTACCTGTATAATTTCTGTTTCAAATAATCTATGCATTAAGGGCCAATAATGTTGTATTTATTGGAGGAGAAAGTACAGAGTTTTGTTACACCACACTGGCCAAATAGAAGCTAGAGATAGCATGCCTTCACCTTTTCTTTCAAAATATTACTGCAATGCTGATAACATAACAGGAGCAGCAGCTGGCATGGGTTTTGCCCATACATCATCCAAAGGCAACCAAATAAACACTACTTTGCTTTACCTAGCAAGGTGTGAGGATTATCTACAATATGCTGGTGTTTGGGCAGTCAACTAGTGTCATGGCTGCACCACACTGAAGATACACTCTCTATCTCCACTATACAACTTTTTTATTTATGCATTCTTTCATTCAGTTATCACTTACCATCATCTTCAACAAGTGAAGAAATATAGCTACTATAGATACATAACTGTAAAGGGCAAAGGAACTAATTAATGCTAATGCCTGACATTGAACTTTTAGGGGATTCTTTATATTAATGCACACTGAATATTTTGAACTCATCCCTTCTTCATTATTATAATATTTATTTTGTAAGATGTTTGCAACAAGCAGTGTGTGTTGTAAGAGGTGACTAAAATGCTGGGAACAATGGCTACTAATGCCTTCTTTTGTATAAATTACTAAATGTAAAAATAAAAATCTAGGTAGTAGGTTGGTAGACAGCAACCACCCAGGGAGGTACTACTGTCCTGCCAAGTGAGTGTAAAACAAAAGCCTGTAATTGTTTTACATGACGGTAGTAGTGCTGGTGTCCTTTTTTCTGTCTCATAAACATGCAAGATTTCAGGTACGTCTTGCTGCTTCTACTTACACTTAGGTCACACTACACATATATGTACAAGTATATATATACACACCCCTCTGGGTTTTCTGCTATTTTCTTTCTAGTTCTTGTTCTTGTTCTTCTTTATTTCCTCTTATCTCCATGGGAAAGTGGAACAGAATTCTTCCTCCGTAAGCCATGCGTGTTGTAAGAGGCGACTAAAATGCTGGGGGCAAGGGGCTAGTAACCCATTCTCTTGTATAAATTACTAAATTTAAGAAGAAAAACTTTCGTTTTTCTTTTTGGGCCACCCTGCCTTGGTGGGATACGGCCGGTTTGATAAAAAAAAAAAAAAAAAAAACTTTGTTTCTTCTTTTTTTGGGTCACCCTGCCACGGTGGGAAATGGCAGTGTTAAAAAAAATGTTTGCAACAAGCAGGTAGTAGTGCATTCAGGTCAACACCATTATGATACTTGGGACATGACACCATTGCTTATGAGTGTTTGACACCTAGACATTTCTAGGAAATATGTGAGATGTCTTTTTTCTTAAATGGCTAATGTGGCAGTTCAAATGGTCATTAAAATTGTTATGTCCATGCACCTCTAGAAAGACATCTAGGTAATGAGTGAGAGTGAATATGATTCCTTATTTGGGTCACCCTATCTTGATGGGAAATGGCGAATGAGTTAAGAGAAAAAGCCTCCATAGGCAGGTAGAGTTCTACCACACTATAACTTCAGGTTTCTGATAAAGCATCAGTTTTTAAAGAACTTACTGAATCAAATCCACTCAAGTAGTTGACAAATATGAATTCTTCACATTACCTCCTGGTTAAGAATGTCATCCACATCATCACTAATATCACTAAAAGTGTCTTTCTCTTGTAGTGGAGCATCATTATTTTCAGCAGGTGCTGGAGGAGGTGATTCTGTGCACTGTTTCTTACTCTCTGTTTCATCCACACTCTTTTCTTCGGAAATTCCTCTCTTTTTATCCTCCACAATTACTTTCTTCTTATCCTCACCAGCTGTAGCATCATTCTCTGAAAATACAATGCTTAAAAATAAAAAATTCTTAAATAAAGCAAATATACTATATGTATTTGAAAAAAGTGGTGTTTAACCCTTTGACTGTCATGACCCCAAATCCTAAAGTGTTTCTGTGTTGCAAACTTTTCCAAAAAAAAAATAGTTTTTCTTATGAAATGATAGAGAATCTTTTCCCGATGTTAATGACACCAAAAGTACGAAATTGATGAAAAACTTACGGAATTGCACTCCTGCAAAGTTAGCAATCTCGGTGATGTTTATGCATCGGCGATTTCGCCAACTTTGAGCCCTATTTTTGGCCAATTCCACTGTTCCAGTCGACCAAACTCATAGCTATTTCTTTAGAACTCCATTTGTTCTATTGATTGAGTACAAGAAACTGCCCATTTACAGATTTGAACAACCCAATAAAGTGGTCAGAAATTGGCAATTTGACCAATTTCACGCAAAATAAAAAGATGCCAATTTCAAAGTAGGGTCCAGAATGAACAATGCAGACATTCCTGGCACTAAAATAACATTTTCTCTGTTCATCAGTCATGTCTCTAGGCCCTTCTTATATTACTCTTGCTTTCTATTTTGAATTTTTATTCACACAAAAAATAGAAGATTTACTATTATGCAGATTACTGCATTATTGTAATAATTGTATAAATAATGTCAACCCATTCATGACTGTGTATTAGAATGGCTAGTTGGGCACTTATTGGAAAATGATATCATTTGTTTATTCTTGAACATCGGCAAAAATCGAACATTTCTGCTATTTTGAACTCAATTTCAAGGTCCTTTTCATCATGAAACCAATCAAATCATCTGCACTTCTGTAATATGTCTTCCATTCTATCAAATGAGACCAAGAAAACGAGAATATAACCATAAATACTATACAAAAATACCCCTCAAAGTCGATGATTTAATCCAAAACAACAGTTGGAGTTTTTTTTTTTCTCATTATACAATGCATGCTGCAGGATTTTTTTATACTGTGCACACTGACCACACAGACCCATTCTCTCACATGTGGGCCTACCAGCTTTCTCCTGCTTGATTTGAAGCCGCTAGAATTTTGGAGTATAAATACGTCAAAAACACTGGCTCATAAGATGTATATATATGATCGAAACAGTCAAAGGGTTAAGAGAGACTTCTGGAACAGTTATATAGGTTGTTAAAAGTTGTAACATTTGTGGATGAAGATTTGCTTTTTTCCAACAAATTGGCCGTATCCCCCCAAGGAAGGGTGACCTAAAAAGACAAATCAGTTTTTCTTTTCAGATTAAGTAATTTATACAGGAAAAGGGGTTATGTGGATGAGGATATGAATTTATTTTATAACTGTCTGTATAATTATGGAAAGTGCTAACCCCATAAGGGTCATACATTATTACATATCAGAGGGAAAAAGAAATGGAGGTAAAAGGGTAGAAAAGGCAGAGTTGTTGAAGCAAGAACACCATCTGAAAAGATGATTGTTACAGTTGATGAAGCAAATTAATGTTAGTTAAGAAATGTGGGACCATCATGTCAGAACAAATGTGAAAAAACATGACTTGCAATAATATAACAAGATTGTAAACAACTCATGGCCTGCCAGTTTTATGGCTGGCTTCCCATGGGTTCAAATCCCATCCATTCTGTGAGTTGAAATTATAAGGTGAAAAACATCGTACATGATAATCAGTTTAATGGGTATCGTGTACAAAAAGATAAAATACTTGTAAAAAAAAAAAAAAACTTGAAACAAAAAGTATGACACAAGCTGAAAAAAATTAATTGTGTTACTTTCTGAAACTGGTACACAACTTTCTGATTAATTAATTCCTAGATCTAATCTGTTAATTATATCATTCCTTTCAAATTTCTTTATTATATTAAATCTTAACTCAGTGATACATATCACCAAATAACCACAAACACCTCACTTCATCCCCTTGGAATGATGCATTAGGGCTCTGGGAAACCCCACCTGATATATACAATATTTATTTCCTACCAAAGGACTGGTCATAGACTGGGCCTGCGGGGGCTGTGACCCCCCGAAACCTCTCTCCAGGTATACCTAATATGTATTCTGGGAGTGATAAAATCTGCTATTTTCTATTCGATAATACGATGGTCTTCCAAGCTTTTCAAAATAATAGCACCCCAAGCAAAAAGAATAAAGAATTTTATTAACAAGCAGGCAAGATATTTTTTCTACCACTGTATTATTCAACACAAATACTTTTATATATACATGTACAGGTGTACCTCGACTTACGATGGTTCGACTTATAATATTTCAACTTCATGATGGTGCAAAAGAAGTTACAGTGGCACCTCGAGTTTTTTATTCACTTATTTATTTATCATATAGTATTCATGTTCAACTTAATGATATTTTTGACTTATAGTGGGTCTGTCAGAACATAACTCCATCGTAAATCGAGGAGCACCTGTACAGTAAGTCCTCAACTTACAAACACATTGCAGACTTCTGAATTATGCATAATTTTCATAATACAGGAAGTCTTCAACTTACAAGCACATTGGGGATTTTCTGTATTGTGTATAATAAGGATATAATAATATACATAATAATGATATTATACACAATACAGATTCTCAACGTGTTTGTAAGTCGAGGACTTATGTATATACACATCAAGACAACCTACCCTCCACTGGAACTTCTACTGTTTGCTTCTCTTTCTTGGCCGGTGACTCTCTATCTGTCTGGGGAGGAGCATCGCAGCCCTGCGCACCCAAGACCCTCGCCCTGGGTCATACTCCCATAACTCACCTGAAAAATTTATTGACAAGTTTCTCCATAATTATACATAAAGTATTAAATGAAGAAGCATACAGCTCTAATAATACTTTATATATTACACTACAGTAGTTATATCACTTTCATGCTTTTTAAGCAGAGCAAGCAATCTTGGATTATAAAGCAATGATCATTTTATCAAACAAGTGGAGAGTAAATTTATTGATATTAGATACACATCTCTCAGTATTATTTGCTAGTCTACCACTATCAACATGACTTCACCCTCAACTGCAAGGATTAAAATCTTCTGCTTCAATATTATCCAAAGACTGTCAAGTTCATCAATATATTTTATGCATTAAATGGAGTGCAAGTCAATTACAAAAAATATCTTTGATATGACAGATTTCATAATGAGTTAATGTTTCGACAAAAATGGTCTAAGAAAGTTTTTATGTACAGTAGCAACTTTTTTTTAAAAAAGAAGACACATTGTTGAACTGATAAAGGCCTCACAAAGTAAGATAACCATGATATAATAATTATCTTTATATGTGTGATCTAATAAATATAATAGAAGACACATCTATTATACAACCAGAAGTCAGTGGAAAATAGGTAGAGGCATACAATCATACAAATTATATGGTGTATCTGAAGAAATGTGCTTAACAGTTAAAATAAAGAAAAGGCAAATGAAAAGATAAACCAAAAGCAAAAAAAAAAAAAAAAAAAAGGCACTGAAGATGGGAAAAATTATCACAAAAAATGTACAGTACCAACTCAAAAACAATTTTAAAAAATACTTTATTAAAGAGCAATTACAGTATATGCAAACTAGAGTAATCATCCTTTAGATTGCTGAATGAACCATGATTCTATAATCATATACAGAAGATTCTTAAATAACACAGTGGTTATGTTCCTGTAAATAGTAACAAAAAAAAAGTGTTAAGTAAATCGAAGAATATATGGGAAAACTAGGGTTACGTGCTTGAACCTCCACAAAAGAAAATAAATTTTAAATTCTTAATTTCGTCAAAATAATGAAGTTTTTGATTCCTCACATTACAATGAAGTTTTTGATTCCTTACATTTTAGATGTCATTGCCTGTTCATCTAGAAATATCATGGTATGTACCCAAAGCTAAATAAAAAGTAGTTACTAAATAAACTTACTTAACAAGGCCTAGGGAAAACTGGTGTTTGGTGTAGTATGCTGTCTATTCCTCCCAGAGAAAATGAGCATGGCATTCCGCCAAGAAAAAAAAAAAAAAGGAACGGGTGGAATTTGAAGCCATGGCAAGCAAGTGCTAAACCTGACTAATACATTGCTAGAGACTAATGTAAATTTAACATCTTTTTTTTTTTTAGCACATCGGCTGTTTCCCACCAAGGCAGGGTGACCCAAAAAAGAAGAAACACTTTCATCATCACTCACTCTATCACTGTTTTGCCAGAGGAGTGCCAATACTACAGTTTAAAAATGAGTAAGTATACAATGTGTATCAATAACAAGAATGAATTTTACTCCATATTAAATTCTTCGTTTCTCTTGCTTGTGTATGTAGAAATGTTTGTAGATGGTTATATAGTTTAAGTCACCAGCAGATGCCACTCATACATTTCACCAAACAATTTTCTTGTTTATAATAGTGATAAAGAATTTTATTATTCCTTAAATTTCTTTTTTTTTTTTTTGCTTGATGATACAGCAGTGTTTGGAGATTATTATTTGACTACTGAGTGGTAGACAGCTATGAAAAGTCTGTATATTTTATCAGCTGACAGCTCTTGGTCAGTTGTCTGTTGAGGTTACGAGGGCCATATAGCATATGCTGTACTGAGCCAGGGTCAGTAAATTGCTCTCTAAAGGCCATATCAATCTCTTAATAAAAAAGTTTTCAAACCTAAGCCACCTTTTCAAAACTTTTACCACATGATATTCAAGTTTCACTGCAAGCTATGCAAGTTTTAGAAATTTTTTTTTTTTTTTTTCTTTGTGGGTCACCCTGCTCAGTGGGAGACGGCTGGCGAGTTAAAAAAAATTATCACAAAAACACGTAGTGTAAATGTGTTTTAAATCTGCTGTACTTGTAGGTAGGTAGGGTGAGGGAGTGTAATAGAGAGAGGTAGAGAGAGGTAGAGAGAGAGGTAGAGAGAGAGGTAGAGAGTAGAAAAGATAGAGGTAAGAAGAGAGAGAGATAGAGAGAGAAGAGGTAGAGAAGAGAGAGTGAGAGAGAGAGAGAGAGAGAGAGAGAGAGAGAGGAGAGAGAGAGAGAGGAGGAGAGAGAGAGAGAGAGAGAGAGAGAGAGAGAGAGAGAGAGAGAGATGAGTGAGTAGAGAGAGAGAGAGAAGATGAGTGGAGAGGAGAGAGGGATGAGAGAGAGAGATGAGAGAGGAGATAGAGAGAGACAGAGGAGTAGACTGGAGAGAAGAGAGAGAGAGAGAGTGGAGAGATACAGAGAGAGAGAGAGAGAGGGAGAGAAGATAGAGAGCAGAGAGAGAATCCCCGTAGAGAGAGAGAGACGATGAGACAGAGAGAGAGAGAGAGCCGCTCCAGAGATTATGAGAGAGAGAGCAGATGGAGAGAAGTAGATGAGAGAGAGAGAGAGAGATTGTGTCTGTGTGTGTGTGTGTGTGTCGGTGTGTTGTGACTGTGTCTGTGTACTCCCTCAATGTGGTTGCAGGTCGAGACTCATCTCCTGGCCCCTGCCTCTTCCCTGATCGCTACTGGATCCGTCTCTATCATCGCTTCCTGAGCTTTGTCATACCTCATTCTAAAACATGTCGTTTCCTCCTCACACTTTCACTTCTACGGCTATTCCACTTAGCTGACAACTCTATGACTGAAGAAACTACTGTCCACGTCCCTGTGACTCGTCTAGTCTTCAGCTTCCATGTGACCCTTGTCTCTGTGTCCCCTCTCTGGAACATCCTATCTCGTCCACCTTGTCTATTCCCCGCAGTATCTTGATGCGTTTTCATGTCCCCCCCCTGACCCTTTTGTCCTCCGTGTCGTCATCCGATTTCCCTTAACCTTTCTGACGACTTCCCTTGAGCTCTGGGACACCCTTTGTTGCAAACCTTTGTACTTTCCTAACTTTTTTACGTGTTTGACCAGGTTTGGGTTCCGGGTGCGATACTCCATAGGCCTAACATACACATGTACGTGTCTTGAACGTTCCCTTTTTTTAAGGTATCGGAACCTATTTCAGTTTGCCAGGCCCCGTTGCTGCAGCGGTTATTTGGTTGATGTGTCCCCCGGTGATG